GGTTCAAACGTGTGAATACAACGGATTTAGATGAAGTAGCATCGGCAATTGGTTCTTGGACAAAGCTTGTATGGCTGGAGAGTCCAACCAACCCACGGCAACAAGTCAGCTTGTTCATGGCAAGGGTGAAATGCTGATCTCGACGGGAGTGCGGCGGAGGCGTGAAAGCTCGCCGACGAGACAATTGGTGGTGATGGACTGAGTGAGGGCTTCGAACTCGTCGGTGGCATCAAATTGTTTTTGTCGCAAGAGAGGAGAGGAGGGTGGTCACACCATCGGTATCAGCACCTGCTCCTCCTTCACTGACCGCCTCTACCCTCAAGACACAACCATGGACAAAACATTTGCCAACAACCTCAAAGTCACATGTCCAGCACTAGATACTGTGCCTGTGGTTAGTGTAAGATCACTTTTGAAATAAAATAGCAGGTTTTGGTGTGAAAAAATAAAATAAAAAAGAGTGGTTGATCTTTGTATGTAGAGAAGTCGCCTCTGGTGGCGGCGAACTGGAAGCTATATGTATTGATAGAGATGACAGCGGAATAGGTTGAGGTCCGGCGGACGGCCAAGGCGAGACTGCCGCCCGCCGGTGAAGCAGAATGACTAGGTTGTTAACCTTGCTCTGATACCATGTTAAAATCAATGTATAAAGAGAAATAGAGAATTGTATAGATATTGATTGTATTATTGATTGATATCTAATATGTTTACAATGATGCCTATATATAGAAGAGTAGAGTAGGTAGGTGTACAGTAGGTGGAGTAGGTGGTAGTAGGTGGTAGTGGTATAGGTGTGTAGTAGGTGGAGTAGGTGGTAGTAGGTGGTAGTGGTAGGTTTTAACAGAAGCTCCTTGCAGAAGGGTTTTTTTTATCTTTCTTTGTCAGGGGTGAAAACTGAAGACTGTAGGACATTGAAGAAGCTTGCATTATGTAATTTCACAAAATCAAAGTGGGTGGAACAATATAATCTGCTCAAGGTTTGAACTAATTTTGAAGAGAATGAATATTTTGCCATGATTTATATTTGTAAATGACTGTACAACTGTATTAATACTAACATTCTATTCTGGTTGTAGGATACTAACATTCTATTCTGGTTGTAGGATGTAAAAGGTAAAAGTAGTAATGGAGGGTCAGTAGTTCCTGGAGGACCTAATGCGATTGTATCTGGTAGTTCAACAAGTGTAAAGAGATCACATGACGGCCAATTTCAAAATTTTCCAGGTTAGACCATATGTTTCTTTGAGAGTAAATCATTAGATGGTTTAGAGTCAGTTTACACAACTTCTTGTTAAAAAAGAAATGCAGTTAAAGGTTGAACCGCAAAATGAGTTTTAAAGTTGAATGAGTAGACTTCTGTTATTTAAATGAGCAAGTAGAACATAAAGGACAAAAGGATTATGCATAAGTTCATAATTTTTTTGTTCCAAACCGTAATCATGAATTTTTTTCGCTCTTTTCCTAAATAACATAGACTAATTCAATTGTGTTGGTTGTGTAAAATGATAATTGAACGGAAATCTATCTTGACAATTATTTGCATGATTTTTCTCAGAACATCTTTTGGTACACATTGTATTTAAACTTATTTTTATTCATCTTAACAAACTTATTCAAGAGAAGGTGGAGCTGAATATTCAAGAGAAATAGAATATTTGACAAAAAAACATAATTTTTGACATAAAAAAATTATTTTTTATTTTTTTTATATATTTTTTGAATTGTTTATCAATCCCATCTCTGATTTTTATTTTTTATTTTTATTATATATTTTTTGAATAAGGGAGAACAGTTTTTATTTATTTATTTATTTATTTTTAAATTTTACATTTCGTTTGAATGGCTGTCCATTTTTTCTTCCATTTAATTTATTATTATTATTATTATTATTATTATTATTATTGTTGGGTTTTGATTGTTGTGAAATAGGATGATGAGTGACTATAAGGTTCATCTATACCCATCTATGATTTTATTTATTTACTTATTTAATTTTATATTTTTTAAATAAGGGAGAACGATTCTTTTTTTTATTTTTAATTTTACATTTCGTTTGAATGGCTGAGATTTTTTTATTTTTTATTTTATATTTTTTGAATACGGGTGAAAGATTTTTTTTTATTTTTTTAATTTATTTTTAATTTTACATTTCATTTGAATGGCTGAGATGATTCCTAATCAATATCTAACGGTTGAAGTATGTGCAATGATTTTAGGATTGGATCTGTGTTCTTCTTTAATTTTTAATTGTTGTTGGTGTTGTGATGATCTGGGTATTGTGAATGTATATTGTTGTTGTTGATGATGAATGATGATGAAATAGATAAGATACATGTATATGACTTGATCTGTGCAAAGTAAATATTTGTAGCTAAAATTTGTATATATAAAAGGCTTTGATTTGTCCAAATTGATGATCATGATGAAGAGGTTGAAGAGTGTAGCAAAGAGGTTGAAGAAGTACTTGGAAGAGGTGAAGAGTGTAGCAAAGAGGTTGAAGAGTGTAGCAAAGAGGTTGAAGAGTGTAGCAAAGAGGTTGAAGAGTGTAGCAAAGAGGTTGAAGAGTGTAGCAAAGAGGTTGAAGAGTGTAGCAAAGAGGTTGAAGAGTGTAGCAAAGAGGTTGAAGAAGTACTTGAAAGAGGCACATACAAATCTATTTCGTTTTTAATTTTTTGATGTTTTTTCTATGATGATGAACAGATAGGATTTGGTGATTATGTTGTTGATGAACAGATAGGATTAGGTACGTGCTTGGGTATGATTTGGATTGGTGTTTGTGTTTCCAAATTGGTGAGCAACTTTGTATTTGTGTTACGAAGATAAGAATGAAAGGAGATGTGAGGTTGCTAAAAAATTAGTAAAGCAATTTTATTGAAATATTTAGGTGGGTTGAAAGAGTAGTTTTTTTTTTTTGGAGGGGACTCATTTTGTGGTATGGTATACAATCTGATCCTTCGGTCTGAAATAATAATTGATCCTCATGAAATGGTTTTCAAATGGATTTTAACACATTCTTAAGTGATTTTTCAAATGGTTTTTAATGTTTCATTGTGTTGGATTTGTGTTTTTTATTTATTTTTTTGTTGATTAGGTTGTTTTTCTACGATTTTGGTTTCGGTTTGTGTTTGTGTTTCTAATATTTATGTTTCTAAGATTTCTGTTTGGGTTTGTGTGATTAGGTATGCAATCAATGGAACCACTGAAAAAGTTGGAAACAAAGCTAAAAGACACAAAGTATTGGAACAGAGCATTGAAAATCATTATGTTTCTTTTCAATCAAAGCAAAAGAGACATCAATTTGGGTTTAGATTTGGGTTTGTATTTGTGTTGTCAGACGAGGGTCTTGACATTGGTTTGTGGGACTGTTGACATTGGTTTGGGTCTCAACATTTTCTTTTTTATTTATTTTTTCTTCAACCCGTATGTCTCTCACCCGTCATTATTTTTGTTTTATTTTATTTATTTTTATTTCTATAACCCAATTTAAATTTTCATTCATAATTCATGGACTATTTCTTCATTCGTTAAAGACATGGTGAAGAAATTAAAAAGAAACAGAGTAAGGAAAGAGATAGTAGTCGGTTTTCTTAATTGTGCTACGCATTCAAATGCTTGGCCACTATCATATTTTTATTTATTTTATGTGCTATTCAAATTGTGTTGATATATTATTTTTTTTTTCAATAGGAATGCAAAATGCGTTGATATATTATTTTTTTTTTCAATAAGAATGCAAAAAAATATGTGAAAGACAGACCCCGCAAAAGACTGATGGCTACTTTTATCTACCGACAAATTACTTGGATTGTTAATGGTATTTATTTATTATTTAGTAAAATACATAAAAAATCTCAGATTGTTCAGATTGAAAACATGCAAATAGCTTAGATTAAAAATAAATTAGAAATTTAATATTTAAATTTCTAAAATTAAAAACTCAATAGTTTATTTTTTATAAGTATTAAATTCTAAGTTTTATTTTTGGTAATTTTTTCTAAATTTTAATGATACCTAAAATTATTCAAACAAGATTGAGTTATGTGTAGTGGCAGCATACAATGTTTTTAATATATTCATATTTTCCAAGATTACCTAAATGTTGAGGATGCATTAAATTAATTAATTAATTGACATTATACGTAGAAATGATAACTATATTTTAATCTTAACATTACTTACACCGTGTCTTCAGCACGAGCATACACTAGTTACAAATAGGGGTGTGCATAATACCGCCAAAACCGCTGAAACTGCCGAAACCGCCAAAACCGCACCGAACCGCACCGCCAAGGCAAATTCGTTATTATTTGCCAATAGAACCGCCGGCTTTTAGTAAGAAAAATGGCAAATTCTAGTGACATTTTTATCAATCTCCAGTTTCTATTTTTCTTCCAAACCGCATCAACCCGCACCGCTATTAAATCATGTTTTATAAGATTCTAAAAATTCTTTTTTACTTAAGTTTGCTTGTTGTTCTATACCTTAGAATATAGTATTACATTACTGCTCGAAGGGAATCAAGATGTTAGTAATCTAAAATAAAGTTGGATTCCAATTCACTTTTCAAATTTTTTTTTTTTTTCTGGCCATGTTGCTACACTTGCTGCATCAGAAGAAAGTTTCGCAAGATGCTTAACATTACGGTACTCTTTGATTTAAGTTTTGTAATTTGAATTATATTTTTTATAAACCGCCAATCTGCCCGAACCGCCAAGGCAAATTCGCCATTATTTGCCAACCGAACCGTCGGTTTTTGATAAGAAAAATGACAAATTCTAATGACACTTTTATTAATCCGTCACCCGTCATACAGTTTCTATTTTTCTCTCAAACTGCATCGACCCGCACCGTGCAAACCCCCTAGTTACAAATAAGTTATAGATGGATTTCTACAGGAAAAACGACGTCGCTTTGAATTTTTTATTTTTATTTTTATTTTTTTTTGTTGTTGCTTGTCAGCCCCTTTTCACACCTCGTCTTCTCCATCTCCTTCTCCTTCTTCTTCCTTTCTTATCTGCAGAAACTACCAAACCCGCCATCTCTTGTTCTCCATCTCCTTCTTCTTGGTCTCTTCTCTCTCTAAAAACTACCAAATCACACCCGCTACAAAATAAACCCAGATTCAAACCCAAAAAGAAAATTTGCAAACCCACAAGCTTCTCAAATATAGATTCAATATAGATGCAATCTCAAATCTACAAACCAAATCCACCACCTCTTCTTCTCCATCTCCTTCTTGTTTCTTTCTATCTATAAAAACTACCAAACCCACCATCTCTTCTTCTCCATCTCCTTCTTCTTCCTCTTTTCTCTCTCTAAAACTACCAAATCACACCCACTAGAAAATAAACCGAGATTCAAACCCAAAAAGAAAAATGGCAAACCTACAAGTTTCTCAAATATAGATGAATCTCAAATCTGCAACAAATCACATAAAGACCCACATATCTAATAAAATCTCAAACCAAATGAATTAATTTTCCGTCTAATCTGGTTGTTTATGAGTCCGATCGAGTTGCACAGGTATCAATTTGATCGCCCTTTCCTTCTAATAATTTTTTGGTGATGCCTCTTCCTTCATTCTTCTCTCTGCAACTCTTGCCTCTGCTTCTAATTTTTTCCTTCTAAGTGCTAGATCATGGTTGAATCTGCCGTCCGGGCGGCAAAGCATGTTGTAAGCTTGCTTGAAGTTTGATATGAGGATCCATATATTCAGTGAAAACACTCTCTGTAAAGAACCAAAGATTTTGAAGATGATGATGAGAAACCAATCAATCAAACGGGCTGAAAAGAAAAAGTAGGAAGAAGAAGGAAAAAAAAAAAAACACCAAAACGAAGTCATTTTGGATGCGCGGTGGGGAAGGCCGCAGGAAAGTGTGGCCGACGATCCGAACTCGGTGAGTGACAGTCTATATTATTCTAAAAATATTTTAGAACTCTAAATTGTGAGTTTTAATAATTTTAAATATTTTAGAACTCTAAATTGTGAGTTTTAATAATTTTAATGTGGATGTTTTGACCTTATTTTTATTTATTTATTATTATTATTATTTTTTACTTTCTACCTCTGTAGAGTTCCAATTTTGGTTCTAATTTTAGAGGGTGTATGTTGTTATTATTCAATCAAACTTCTATATATAAACAGATTAGTCTCATACTAAATGAACTGCAGTGCTCACTCTGCTCTACAGCATCAAATTTAGGAAGCAGACATGGCAAGCACCTCTCTTCTTGTCATTCTTAAACTGCTGATGATCTTATTATGTGCTGGTTGGATTTCACTTTGGCTTCTCAAACCCACAGATTTATGGGCAACCAAATGGAAAGGAGCCGAAGATAATGCTTCAAATACTGTCTTCGGCTACAATGGTACGAACTTATTTCATTAAAAAATTATCTACATGAGTCAACATGCTACCAAAAATCCCCTTTTCATATATAAATATATATTCTTTCAATGATTTGGTTTTGTTAGTTGTAAGTCTGAAGATAATGCATCAAATACTGTCTTCGGCTACAATGGTATGAACTCATTTCATTAAAAAATTATCTACATGAGTCAACATGCTACCAAAAATCCCCTTTTCATATATAAATATATTTTCTTTCATTGATTGGTTTTGTTAGTTGTAAGTAATTTGCACTGAGGCCTTGTTTGCGAACAGGCTAATTTGGTAACTTTTTAGCTATTTGGCTAAAAAAGTAGGTAAAAAAAATTTATATTTTTGGGATGATTTTTTGGCTAATTACGAAAAGATGTGTAAAAAGTAGAGATAAAAGAGAATCTTTGACTTTGACTTTTTTGTATGAGTTGTTGATTTTTTTGGTTAAAAAGGTATTTTTTTTTGATTTTTTGGCTAAAAAGGTAAGTCCCAAACGGGCCTGAATCAAGAATAATCATTAAAAAAAAAAAAAAAAAAAAGGTTACAAATATGAATGTTGTTTTTTGGAACACTGATCTCACAACGGCTCCTTTGCAGGGCTTGATTTGGCTGTCTATACATTTCCTGTTATTGCTGTGGCTATAATTGGATTTATTTACTTGGAATTAAAACCAAAGGATCAAAGAAGCAGGTAGGAATTATTTAATTGGATTTATTTTCGTGTGAGCTATTGAAAAGAGATGTGAGTGATGTGTCAAGTACTTGTAATTGTATACACTTTTATTTGTGAGTTTATCAACAATACTTTGATACTGTGTATTGTGCTTGTTTTTTGTATTCTGTTTTGGACATGTCACATAACTTTCTGTTCAATTTTGATGACAGACAAGCAAGAAGTCCAGTAAAAGGTCTCTCAAATCCACTCATTGTCAACAGTTATTTGGGTATCTTCTCCACAATTGAGATTCTTGCTGTACTACTCTTCATCCTCTTCCTAACATGGACTTTCTATGCCCACGTCTCTAATGATTTCAAAAAATTTATGCCAGTCAAGAACTTGAAATTGAACATGTGAGTAATAACATTTTTCTTGATTCCAATCATTCCATAGAAGGTACTGTGAAGAGTGGAAAATAAAAATTCCAAATTTACTGGTGTTACCCCTAAATTTCAGGTGGCAATTCAAAATTTACAAGATGTCAATCCGGTTTGGCTTGTTGGCAGAAGCCAGCCTGGCACTGCTGCTTCTGCCTGTCTTAAGGGGTCTGGCAGTATTTCGTTTACTCGGCCTCCAGTTTGAAGCTTCAGTAAGATACCATGTCTGGCTTGGGACTGCTATGATACTTTTTGCCACCTTGCATGGTTCAGGCACCATCTTTATATGGGGTCTCAAACACCACATTCAGGATGAGGTGATTCTGAGCCCATCCCTAATGTTCCATCAAATGTAAATTTCTTCAGTATATTGAGATTTGTGTTAAATTTCTTTTTTACTTGGCAACAGATGTGGAAATGGCAGAAAACAGGCCGCATATACCTTGCTGGTGAGATTGCTCTTGTTACAGGGCTAGTCATCTGGATCACATCACTTCCGCAAATAAGAAGGAAACAGTTTGAAATATTCTACTACACACACCATCTTTACATAGTCTTCTTAGTATTTTTCTTGTTCCATGTTGGAGATAGGCATTTCTACATGGTTTTCCCCGGGATTTTTCTCTTTGCCCTTGATAAGCTACTCCGGATCATACAATCAAGACCACAAACTTGCATACTTTCCGCACGAGTCTTCCCCTGCAAAGCTATGGAGCTTGTTCTGCCCAAAGACCCAAGTAAAATTTCAAGTTCTTCAGGTTATCATAAAGTTTAATCGAGAAGACTAGAAATTAACTCATGTACCTATATTTTCTAATAATTTCAGGATTGAAGTATACTCCAGCAAGTGTGATATTCATGAAAATACCAAGCATATCTAACTTACAGTGGCACTCCTTTACTATATCTTCAAGCTCTAGTGTTGATGAGCACACCATGTCTGTTATAATGAAATGTGAAGGATGGTGGACAAGCTCTCTATACAACATAGTACAACAAACTGAGCTAGGCTCTGATCCTAATCAAATGAAGTGTATCCCAGTTTCAATTGAAGGGCCATATGGACCGGCTTCACTGGACTTTCTATGGTACTATAATGTTGGAATCGGCCAAGTTACATGAATAGAATTTTGGCTTACTGATGTTTTATTTATTTATTTTTATTTTCTATGGCAGTTACGATAGTCTACTCCTGGTTGCGGGAGGAATAGGGATAACACCATTTCTAAGCATTTTGCAAGAATTTGAGCTTGGTCAAAGTAGTGGCAGAAATAGACTTCCTGCACAGATGCAACTTATTTATGTTGTGAAGAAGTCCCAAGATGTGTGCCTTTTGGATTCAGTTTTTCCTTTGTTGCTGAACCAAGCGGCAGAACAATTCCATCTGAAACTCAAAGTGTTCGTAACCCAAGAGAAATCTGGTTCAACTCTTCCGGAACTACTGAATGAGTTTTCTCAAGTGGAAACCATAAACTTCGACACCCAATTTTCAAATTATGCCGTACATGGACTCGAGAATTTACTCTGGATGGCTGTCATTGTTGGGTTTTCTTCAATTATGTTCCTCATTGTTCTTTGTTGCTTCAACTGTGCCTATATCCATCCTGCTAAAAAGGCATATCCCTCTTCAATAATTGATCTCTTTCTTATCTGTTCTTTTGCTATCGCTATCATATGTGGCACCTTGGTGGCTATTATGCTAAGATGGAGAAAGATAAAGAAGGAGCTTCCACCCCGCCCACAGAAACACAGCAGAGAAATCAAACCAAATTCCATGGAAACAAGTCATGCTCTTGAGGAACATGAAATTTATTTTGGAGGAAGGCCTAATTTCCAAGGTACGTACTCTTAACCCATTATAAACTACACATTAAGCATTATTCAAGAACATAACGAAATATATTGTCATGTGGTGAATTGGATACAGATGTATTTTCCCAGTTTCAAAACGAAACAGGCGGATCTGATATAGGGGTATTGGTGTGTGGACCTGAAACAATGAAGGAGTCGGTTGCTTTAACGTGCCAGATGAATTCTGAAGGTGGTATCAGGGTGTTGGATACTCATAGAAAGAAGCCATACTTCAGTTTCCAGTCTCTAAATTTCACACTCTAGGTACAGGTGACTATTTGAATTATATGGGATGGGGGGAACTAGTAGAGATATCATGCTGTGCAATTACTTCTTTCACCCCTAGATCACATAAAAACAAGTTTGGTATTGCTTGAATTAGATGGGATGGGGGGATTTGTAGAGATATCATGCTGTGCAATTACTTCTTCCCCCCCCAGATCACATAAATACAAGTTTGGTATTGCTGTATTATATGCCGTTGAGTTGGTCATTTAAATCTTCAAAATAATGACCTAGGCGTTTGATTTCATTTCACTAAAAAATGTATATATATATATATATATAGGATTAAAATTATATTTGTCTCGTTTTCCAATCTTACCATCCATTAATATTTTTTCAGAATCTTTGCTTCATCTATATTTCTTCACAAGCTTTGCTCATGGCAGTGATTTTGGAAAAAAATAAAAATAAAAATTTCAAAATTCGCAAACCAAACACACCAAAAACAGAATAAGATAAAATAGAATATTATGCACTTCCTATAAATAAATAAATAACCAACGGTAACCAAGTCTCGCATTAATACATCACATAAAAACGTTTCATACAATTTTTCACGTGCAACCTAAAAAAGTTCGAATATTATTTCTATTATAAATAATTTCATAATAACACCAAAATCAAATGGTAATTTCAAAAGTCTGTCCAAAATGGTTGGGGCTTCTTCCAGATGTGCATATATTTTACCATATCTATATATTGTATGAAAAAAATGATGTTTCTAATCCACAAGATTTGTGAGAGCTCTAATATTTTAATCTTAATTTTCTAATTTTTTGATTTTTAAAAAAAAATCTCAGCATTTATTGACTTCTCTCAATCCACAAGTTTTTTCGACTTATCCCGTAAATATTACCGCACTTTTCAACTTTTCTCATACACTATAGTTAGTGATAAGATTATTAAATTATTTTCATAAAAAAATTTTAAAAAAATAATTTGTATATTAAAAAAATCTGAAGCAAATATTAATTCTTATTAAAAAATAAAAGGTTGCAGGTGTAAAAAAAAATTAAAAAAAATAAAAATAAAAAGAGAAAAAAAAATTACACTATGCATTTCATTAATAATGGTAAAAAAATGTGTAAAGTGTTTGTGTTAAAGACTTGACATGTGTCTATTCTCAAATCTACATATTATATTAAGAAAAAAGAAGTTTCTAACCCGCAGTATTTATTGATTTCTCCTAACCTATAAGTCTTTTTAACTTTTTTCAATTTCTCCCATAAATTATGGTTAGTAATGTAATTATTAAATTATTTTTATAAAAAATCTAAAAAAAATAATTTGCATATTAAAAAAATATCTAAAACAAATATAAATTCTTATTAAAAATTAACAAGTTGTAATATAAAAAAAATGGAAAAAAATTACACTATGCATTTAATTAATAATGCTAAAAAAATATGCCAACTATTTGTGTAAAGACTTGGCACGAGTCTACTCTCAAATTATCAAGTAAATATAGATGAAATCAAATAACTCAATTTTATTGGCCAACAAATATTAAAACCCTGGCCATTGATGTCACAAGTGATACCAAGTTTTTTCAAAATTTTCCAAGTGGTTCCAAGTGTTTGCCAAAATTTTCCAAAATTCCGTTTCCAACGATTTAGATTTTTTGAAGCCTTGAGTTATCAAGGCAGGAAATCTGACCATGCAATTTTCAAGTGACAAGTTTGACTTTGAAACATTTTTCCTTTCTAATTAACAATACAGCTGGGGAAGTTAAGGGTCCATTTTCCATGCGGGTACCAAAGACTTGTGTAGTGCGATGCCATGAGATGGATGATTGAATTTCCAATTAAAATGACGTGCCTCGAAAGCCATGCCTTGGAAGGTCACCCGTGGGTGAACTGGGTTGGTACACATGTGGGGCATGTGGGCCACATGTGTGTCCACTTAGCACGTGCAGCCGCGCATAGGAGGTGTTGGTGCTACTGCAGCTGTTGAGAACTTGCCAAAGATGCCCACTGCTATTTTGGTGATGGTGCCTACTGGTGACATAGTGGCGGTTTGTATTTTTGTATTTTTTCATTGTGTGGGTGTTTAGAAAGTGAGTTTTTATGTAATTTTTTTTAGTTATAGGATATTATTGGATAAATTTTTTTTCGTATTTGGAAAGATAGTTGAGTTTTTTTGTGATTAGATGTGATGTTTGTGATAGAAAAAGTGAAATGATTATGGGGTTGGATGTGATATTTTGTTTGGATGGATTTTTTTTAGTTTTGCAAAAAGTTTGCCTTTTAGTGAAAAAAAAAAAAAAAAATCCCAAACCCAAGTTCCCAAACACTACCTTTATTTGAAAACATTGCTGTGGGATGCCTTTTTAGGTTACCAAGTGCGCCCGACAGTTTGGACTCCCGATTTTTGATTTCATTTCACTAGTACAATGTGAAACAGAAAATGAGAGCTCAAATCTGATTACTTTTATAGAAAATCCATTTTATTGCAAAATATTGCCAGAAATGGACTACATCCCCAGATTTTAGAGTTGCCACCTAATCTTTTGGGAGAATTTGGAAGCCCGTGACTCATTCCAAAGGCCACTGTATGTTATAACCAAAGTGTCTTGGCTTGGGAATTTAGGCATGAGAGGGGAATGTCATTAATTGAGCACCCTACTCACTCGATCAAAGATCGGCTTCCACTAAGTCATAATGTGGTTTTTATAATCAATGTATATCCATGTTCTGATTATTAATAATGCTACCATTACTATCTGAGACATGTAAATATAGATTGTGCCGTTAATTTTGGTTATGCTCTGACTTCATGCATTTTGAAAAGGGTTTTCTTAGATAAAATCCACAGCATAAGAATCATCTACATTCCAAAATAAATAACACAACCTCCATCCACCGACACTCGAATAGGTATCTCATTGAAGCACTTAGCTTCATGATACAACAACATATATGATAAAGAATATACACATGCAATGTGCTAAAGCCCAAAACTCTTACCTTGTACTTCGAGACGAGTCCCAACACATATGTAGATATACACAAATATGCATGATCCTATATGCAATTTACTAATGCAATACACACAGACCATGCATCTAGGAGTCTGGATGCTAGGATGTGGCATGAGTATCATCTCAAGACATGGATTTATGTATGTATTCATCTTTGAAGATAGTAAATCCCACCAATGCGGATAATCCTAACCCAAATGCATGAAAAGTGGATGCATTATATATGCATGAAAAAGAAAACATGATGTAATATCGAAAATAGGTAAATAAAAGGGTTAGAAAGACGTGGGGTTGGAAGGTTATTACAACAATTTGAATAAGGAAAGGGAGAGAGAGAGAGATTGTTACATTCATGAATCGATTCAACATAATTACTGCTGAATCTAGTAAATCATAAGGAATAAAGAAAAGAAATAATCCAGGAGCGTCAGAACTTCTTAGGGGAACATTTTCCCATAAATTGTATGTTTTGTTCTTAAAGGGGATGATCGGGCAAACACAAAGTGAGTCGGCTGCACGAGGAAGTAACCAGCCAAATTTCTCCTTCGGCTAGGGAATAGGTCAGTGTAGAATTCCAGGACAGAAGCTAAAAGGGTACTTTCTGGGGAATGCTCGACTCCACTGCCTCTTCTGCTGATAAGGACCTCTTGAAGAAGAGGCAGATATGCCAAAATCCTTAACAATGGTAAAACAGGTATATATAATAGATATTTTCACAATAAATCAACGATTAAGCGGATCAAAATCAAGAACAAATTCAAGCCCAAAAAGGAATGGGAACCTATATCTTCTCTTTGTGAATAAGGGTAAATTAATACCCAAATCCATGCTATTAAATGGAGAGCATAGATTAATGCAAATCATTTATTCGTAGAAGCTTGGCCTATTAAAACAAGAGATTCATCAAATTCATTATAAAACTCCTTATCTAGTCATAAAACAAGGATGATAACATCCCTTTCTATGTCCACAAATGATTGAAAAGAGAGGTTTCAACTTCCTTTGACCCAAAATCTCTTGTTTTACTTCCAAAAACTCAATGAAAAAGGGAGAGGCACCACTTATCCACATCAAATCCCATAGATCACCCATGCAATCCCATGGAATAACCCCTAACACTCATGGTAATGGAGTAAGGAGTTGAACCACATGGGTTAACACACTTGAGAGATAGAATAAGTGACGATAAGGAGTGTAATAATAATAAAAACTACCATACTTATTGAACTTGTGAATGGATGGCTAAAACTACTCCCAATCTCATCAAAAGGATCCGAAAACATATAACAACTATGAATTTAAAGCTAAGGAAAGCAATGAAGCATGGAAATGACTATCAACTTAATGGATGGGTGGCTAAGGTTACTCCTTTCACATCTATGAGGGCTTACAACAATCACATAATTGAGAATATAGTTAGAACTAAAGAAAAATGGTGAGAGGATGATCAAAGAAGCAAATGATTCATCTTTTTACGAGGATAAGTTCTTTTTGTTCACAAACTCCCTTTAAGGCCCCTCAAGAACTCTTAGGTGCACTTCTTAATATCCAAAAGTCATTAGTCCAGAGCTTAGGATCAAGCTTTAATGAGAATTTAGCGTTAAAATTTGAACGTGGTAGGTGGGAGGTAAGAGAAGAAGGAGAGAGAGAGAGAGCTCTCAAGCCTCGCTATGCCTTGGGTAAGTTTTTTTTAACCCTTTGCAATGAGCTGGCGAGCTCTATATATAGAGCTCATGTCACGAATATTTGAGATATTTGGGGTAGGTAAGCAAAAAAAGATGAAATTCCTGAAAATGCTCTATACCTAGAACATTCAGTCGGCCGAGCTTCCTACTAATCGGCCGAATGCTTTTGTGGCCGGCTATCATATGGTGTCCGACTAGCCAATGGGAAAATCGTTAGATCAACAAAAGCAGGCTAGTCTAAATTGAAAGGGGGAAATAAGTATTTCAGAGGATTTCATCATTTTTATTCACTTCCACTATATTCTTCGCTCAGTTTGTTTGAAAGAATACAATGCCTTGATTTTGAAAATATGAGCCTTAGAACATTACGGTAACATCTAAAGTTGCAGAACTAAAACTCATTTTGAAAGAGGTTTCCATTTTGTTCGAAAAACATTTTGTCCAAAATAGGTCGTTAGAGGATTTAATACTCGATCCTTAGACCTCCTGCCGCGGAACTTGCAAAGATTAACACCTCTCATTTTTATCATCTGGAACTCAAAAGGGAGAATCCAAGTCTCAAGGCTAGTAAAAAATGGGTTGTCTACAATTGTATAGGATGCTTTTGGGAGGAT